TCCACCACTACCAAATACCTCTGTCAAACTCTACCACTGCCAAATACCTTTGTCAAACTCCACCACTACCAAATACCTTTGTCAAACTCCACCACTACCAAATACCTTTGTCAAACTCCACCACTACCAAATACCTTTGTCAAACTCCACCACTACCAAATACCTTTGTCAAACTCCACCACTACCAAATACCTTTGTCAAACTCCACCACTACCAAATACCTTTGTCAAACTCCACCACTACCAAATACCTTTGTCAAACTCCACCACTACCAAATACCTTTGTCAAACTCCACCACTACCAAATACCTTTGTCAAACTCCACCACTACCAAATACCTTTGTCAAACTCCACCACTACCAAATACCTTTGTCAAACTCCACCACTACCAAATACCTTTGTCAAACTCCACCACTACCAAATACCTTTGTCAAACTCCACCACTACCAAATACCTTTGTCAAACTCCACCACTACCAAATACCTTTGTCAAACTCCACCACTACCAAATACCTTTGTCAAACTCCACCACTACCAAATACCTTTGTCAAACTCCACCACTACCAAATACCTTTGTCAAACTCCACCACTACCAAATACCTTTGTCAAACTCCACCACTACCAAATACCTTTGTCAAACTCCACCACTACCAAATACCTTTGTCAAACTCCACCACTACCAAATACCTTTGTCAAACTCCACCACTACCAAATACCTTTGTCAAACTCCACCACTACCAAATACCTTTGTCAAACTCCACCACTACCAAATACCTTTGTCAAACTCCACCACTACCAAATACCTTTGTCAAACTCCACCACTACCAAATACCTTTGTCAAACTCCACCACTACCAAATACCTTTGTCAAACTCCACCACTACCAAATACCTCTGTCAAACTCCACTATTACAAAATACCTTTGTCAAACTCCACCACTACCAAATACCTTTGTCAAACTCCACCACTACCAAATACCTTTGTCAAACTCCACCACTACCAAATACCTTTGTCAAACTCCACCACTACCAAATACCTTTGTCAAACTCCACCACTACCAAATACCTTTGTCAAACTCCACCACTACCAAATACCTTTGTCAAACTCCACCACTACCAAATACCTTTGTCAAACTCCACCACTACCAAATACCTTTGTCAAACTCCACCACTACCAAATACCTTTGTCAAACTCCACCACTACCAAATACCTTTGTCAAACTCCACCACTACCAAATACCTTTGTCAAACTCCACCACTACCAAATACCTTTGTCAAACTCCACCACTACCAAATACCTTTGTCAAACTCCACCACTACCAAATACCTTTGTCAAACTCCACCACTACCAAATACCTTTGTCAAACTCCACCACTACCAAATACCTTTGTCAAACTCCACCACTACCAAATACCTTTGTCAAACTCCACCACTACCAAATACCTTTGTCAAACTCCACCACTACCAAATACCTTTGTCAAACTCCACCACTACCAAATACCTTTGTCAAACTCCACCACTACCAAATACCTTTGTCAAACTCCACCACTACCAAATACCTTTGTCAAACTCCACCACTACCAAATACCTTTGTCAAACTCCACCACTACCAAATACCTTTGTCAAACTCCATCACTACCAAATACCTCTGTCAAACTCCACTATTACAAAATACCTTTGTCAAACTCCACCACTACCAAATACCTTTGTCAAACTCCACCACTACCAAATACCTTTGTCAAACTCCACCACTACCAAATACCTTTGTCAAACTCCACCACTACCAAATACCTTTGTCAAACTCCACCACTACCAAATACCTTTGTCAAACTCCACCACTACCAAATACCTTTGTCAAACTCCACCACTACCAAATACCTTTGTCAAACTCCACCACTACCAAATACCTTTGTCAAACTCCACCACTACCAAATACCTTTGTCAAACTCCACCACTACCAAATACCTTTGTCAAACTCCACCACTACCAAATACCTTTGTCAAACTCCACCACTACCAAATACCTTTGTCAAACTCCACCACTACCAAATACCTTTGTCAAACTCCACCACTACCAAATACCTTTGTCAAACTCCACCACTACCAAATACCTTTGTCAAACTCCACCACTACCAAATACCTTTGTCAAACTCCACCACTACCAAATACCTTTGTCAAACTCCACCACTACCAAATACCTCTGTCAAACTCCATCACTGCCAAATACCTCTGTCAATATCCACTATTACCAAATACCTCTGTCAAACTCCAACACTACCAAATACCTCTGTCAACCTTCACCACTGCCAAATACCATTGTCAAACTCCAACACGGCCAAATACCTCTGTCAAACTCCACCACTGCCAAATACTTTTTAGTACCTCTGTCCAACTCGGCTTCTGCCAAACATCATGATTGTAGATGTCTGACAATTGTTGGTGTAAAATTTATGTTGCCTTTTTGATGATGATTGGTTATTCAAATAATTTTTGTCTGAAGTCTGGTGTCCATTCAGTAAGTCACTTTACAATATTTGTTTAAATGCTGTTTCTCAGGAACCTAAAATGAATTCTTGAAAAAAATTGGTATTTATGATCCCGTTAATCCTTTATAGATGTGCATGCTCCAATTTGAGATAAATTGAAAATCTAGCCTTTAAAAACAAACCACTTTAAGCTTATGTTGTAAGTTGCATGATTCTCCTTTGTACATCATCCATACATGTGCTTTTTGAAGAAGAGAGCAGAGAAATGAAGAGAAAAGAACCCACAATGATGAGCGCCCAGCTCCCTCTGGGATCTCTTGTTACCAGTCACCTGGTGTGATAAATGCATGGTTGCTAAGAGCTTTAATCACATTGTTTTGTTGCCATGTAAAAGCTAAGTACATTTGTAAAGGTATTTTTCTAGAAATGCATTTTTTTTGTAAACAGCTATTGCTCTGAAGCATATGAAATGATGGTATTGATAAAATGATGGCCATCTCATGCTCGCTTATGGAAACAACAAAAGACCTGCCCCATGTCATCATGATCATTGGCCTTTGGAATAGATTTTTACATCTCAAAGTAGAATCTTGATCAGTCTGAATATTCATGATGATATTGATCCTAAATAGTCATTTTGTTTAGAATACCTAAAACAGGATGATGGAGGATTTCTGCTGAAAGGACTTCTACAAATGTACAGTACTACCATATGTACAGTACTACCATATGTACAGTACTACCATATGTATTTGTATGAAGTCTTATTCATGAAACTGTCTTCATCAGCTCAAACTAAAGGTTTTACTTAATCTTTATCAGATTTCCAAAACTGCATTATGATTCATTGTTGGAGAAAAGAATAGTTTATTTTATTGTTTCTTCCATATTTTGTTCTTCAAAATTTTCCATGTATGCTAATATCAATTGATTGACTATACATGTATTAATTAAATGGTTTGCCAAATCTGTCCATTAACGGTATATAGCTGTGTTTCCCAGCCTGAATCAGAGTTAACCTTGGGCTGATTGTGTAGGTTGGAGAGGCTGGGATCAAGCGTAGACTTGTGTCTGATCCAGACCTGTAGTTAAGGAGCTCATCTTTTTCAAATCAATCCAGCAAAATCTTGAAAATTAAATTCCAAAAAATGCTGAAGACTAATTTGGATTCCGTTTGAGCAATATTTGTTTTTAAATAAAAAATTCTATCAGTAAAACCCAGCAGATTCATTATTGGCTCTAGAATTCTCATGATGTTTTCAAAACAAGCTTGAAATAATATTGATATGATGGAGCCAGTCTCATGGGTGTTTGATAGTGTAAGCTAACACAGTAGCTGTATAAGGTAGGGCCAGGCTGTTGTAGTACTGGAGTCTCTTCCCCATCCATCAGGGTAGTGGGAGCATGCAGCAGGACAATTTACGCTGCTGAGACAATGATCTCCAGGAAGGATCCGCTCAGACTGTCTATTAGCATAAAGATAATTGTACAATATGGCACGTATCCGTAACTCCAGTGGGGTAAACTCCACATCTCTACCACTGTTTTATTGGGTAACATGACTATGGAGCACTAATTCTTGTACAGGAACAAGACTTTGGTGTAAAAAGTGCTGTCTCAAGGGTGATGTATACCGCTCTAGCATTGGGTTAGCTAACAGTTCTTTTGTATTGATCAGCCCCTGAAAAGATACTGTAAGAATTATCAGTAACCTACATTCGGAATACTCACAAATGAAATCTTCTAAATCTTCTTTCCAATTTATTGCATTCTGGGAGAGGAAATGTTCCCCCCCCCCCCCAATATTTTGCATAACATCTTGAGTTACTGTTTCAATCAATTTTAGCCTTTTTACATAAGTATTTACCAATAATGAAGTACATTTTTGGTATTAAGCGTTCAATCCAGTCCTGTAGAATTTAACAAACCTGTGTGTATTGGTAGGCATTAGTTACAGGATGTACTTGTGGCTGCAGTCTTTGTGATTGGATTGGTGAAACGTACACTTCTAGTGAGAATATTTGTTGGAATTTTTTGCAATATGCTTGAAGTTCAAGCAACAATTTTTCTTTGTGGGATGTTGGTTTACACTGGAACATTATAGATCACACCGTAACCTGACGTGATTGTAAATAGTAGGCTGGGTAAGGACCGTTGTGTAACCCGCTATTTGTAAGCTCTGTTAATTGTCGTAATCTATTACAATCCTGTGCTTTATTTGGCTGTGTGCTTAAGAACCAAGTGCAGTCCTAGGTAAAAATCAATGTGGAGGCCGTACAGTAAGGGGGACACCGTTCCATGGCATGATACAGTCGCATGACATCTAGTTCGACTGCAAGATCTCCTGACTCACGATAGTACTACTTTGATCTAGTATGTACAAAACACTCTAACAAATAATCCTACCTTCTATTGCTTTTGTGGCCAAGAAATAATGTGTTTTCTGTACATGGATGACTAATTGATGCACCGCTTGAAATCAGAAATAGTTCTGAAAATATTTGGTTTTGTTTCAATAGAGAGGAAAGAACATCGGATGAAAAAGATGACGGAAATGACACTGACAATGATGTGTTCAGAAGTGGTTCAGAGTCACCTCAGTACGTAAAAGCCAGTGTAGTCGACCCTAAACAGCGACGTGCCACTGTCAGTGGTGGATCTCCGACACTCAGTCGAACTCTCCTGGGACCTGAGGACATTGATACACCCACACGACCGAAATCCTTTACAGTCTCTGCTGCTGATGCTCCACAAATCGAGTATCGTGATCACGGAATACCAGGTAAGTTTATAATGTCTACTTACATAAACATACAGCTGTGTCTGTGTGCGGGATCATGTGTATGTGTGTATACAAGTTTGTTTAGTATACTTATACTTTATATTATGTTCTGTGCATATCTATATTTTCAAAATTAGCTCATGTACGCTTTGTGTGTGTATTTTCAATTTATCTAATTATTCACCAAGCTTTAGTGTTATTATTTATTACAATAATTACTAAACCTACCAACCATTTTATTAATTATAATCATTTCAAGTTGAAAAAAAAAGGGAATTACCAATTATAAGTTTCTGAAGAGTCCAGATGAAGTCAAGGTAACTCTGTATATGAAATACAAATTGATATTAAAATGTGTATGTTTATTTATTCTTTAAATACACTGAAATGTGGTAATCACATAATTATGATCACGACACAGCTGTGTGTAAAACAACTTGCCAATGTTGAATGTTTTCTATAATAGTCTACTGTATACACTGATTTACAGCAGTGTCGATTTTTATGAATTAACTGATAAATGATGTCAGAAAGTTTCAGAAATATTCAAAGAAAAAATTTATGATAGGTCTTCCTTTTTATCTGTAAAGAAACTTGTTTTACAGAAAATAAAGATCTTAGCATTCTGAGAATACCCATGTATAGTGATCGTCCCTATATAGTGTGTTCCGTTGAAATGCTCTCTTACATGATTGATTTATGAAAAGTATTAAAAATCTAGGATGTGGTTTCTGCTCACTTGATGGGTTATTCCTGAACGTGATGCACAGACATATATATAAAAACAATGACGTTTTTATTTGGAAAGGTCTTTAGTATAGAAAAGTGTTCATTTCCAGAAAGGAATTTCCATTTAAATTTTGATTGACATTTTATCAGACTTTTTAAGTTATTTTTCTATGCAACAATGTTGCCATGGAAACTGTGTTATAAAACAAAGATTGCTCTTCAATTCGACGTATCAGTTTTCTGAATGCTTTCCCTACCATTTCCTATTGTGGTAATATTGTACATATAGGGATGAGTGATGGTCATTGGTTTATAGATGTATCTTAATTCAAATTCTGCTGTATATAAATTGATAAATCTTGTGGTACTTTAAAAAAAAGCAGAAAAAATAACAAAGTTTATAGGCATAGTATTCAAAAGTATTGTAAATAGAATTTTAATTAGATTATCTCTGGGATTTATATTTTTTACGATAATATGTGGTGGAAATTAGAGTATTCAATAATGAACTGGTCTATTTTTGGCTTACTGTTACCCTGGTACTAAGGTAATATATTAAGATCTACAGTGAAGTTGAAATTTCTCCTTCCCATTCGGATTCCGTAACTTTCAAATGGATAGAAATGTCTGTCATTTAATCAATTTCAGATTTTAGATTTAATGTTTGCCAGATGAATATTTCCTGATACATCTGTTGAGAGGACGTCAGTGTGTGATACTAAAGCCTATTTAGTGATCACGTTTAATCAGACGTCCTATAGTAAAGAGTCCCTACAGTGTGGTGAACAGCGAGTCTGATCAGACACTGGACTCCAGTACTGAATTGTTTACAAGATATGTTACTCTGATAAAACAGTATTTTGCTATATATCCTATCATCAGACTTGCTTCAAAAGAGTACTTGAAACCTTATTTCCTGTCCTTGGACTTGTTTAAAAGAGTCCTGTCCAGATATTTATTTTAAAGAGTGCTCATCATTATTTCCTGTCCCACTATTTGTTTTTTAAGAGTATTGGATACTGATTAGTTTACAGTAATACTTGCATAAAGGGTGTTGTAGAATGTAAGTATTTCACTCTAAAAAATTGACAATTTTAAAGTATTTGGTTTGAAAGGTGACCAGAGCTGGCAATCAGGACATTCACTGATGACAAGTTAGAATTTACTCAACAAAGCATCAAAATAGAATTCTGAGTACTACCCGGTCCATGATATAGGTTATGAAACCATTGAAGATGAATAATTATCCACACTTGTTTCAATATCTACTAGAAATAAGCGGTTTTAAGGAGACAAACTTGATTAGAATTTATGCGATTTGGACACCCCTTGGTTTAGGACTATGGTTGAGACTTGCAGTGTGAGCATTTGAAATTGAATGGTAGTGACTGCATGTTGGCAGTAAAAACTAGGCCATTTGGGACTACCATTACTGAGATACTGAAATTCTACATTGCCCTTTGTGTATTATAATGTGTTGGAATGCATCTGATAATGGTTAAAACCAAATTTGCGAGTAGAAAATAGCAAACATGTTTGAGAACTCATCTTCCACTAGCTTCAACAGCTGCCATCTGTGAAACTGCAGTCCCAACTTTTCAAAGCACAAGTTTTAGTTTGGTGATGAGGTCACCTTTCCAACCACATAGATTTTCTATGGCTATTCTAGATCTCTTACCTGGTTTCCTCCAACATCAAGACTCTCTTCCATCTAGGTAAACAAAATGATTGAATTGTTCTTTCTGAGGGTTTAGGAGGGGGGATGAGGCAAGTCATGAAATGTGTTTTACTCATAAGCCATCTGAAATTGTTTAGTTTGATAAGGGTTAATTTTATATTGTCAAAATGATGGAAAGTGAAATAATTAAAGGCAATTAGTTGAACAGCTCCATTACTGTGTTGTCTTTATCTTATAGCTTTAGGCAATCTCCTCAGCAGCAGGAACGGCTATGGTTATTGATTAGTAATCATTTAAAATGTTCAAATGTCACAGGTCGGTTCATATCATAAAGCATGTGATTGTACTCAAAAGGGCACTAAAATTGAAGGATAGTTAGGAATGTGTTTTATCTTTACAGCTGATACAAAATATTATTTTACATTAAAATGATTAGCTGAAAAATATTCTTTTTGATAAGGGTTAAGGTCATATGATCAATAAGGAATATTAACAAAATACTGGATATAAAATTTCAGCTTTATTAGAAATGTGTTTTGGACAAGCGTTAGCTGTTTTATATCAGGAAAGAAAAGAATCAATATGTAAAACTTGTAATGGAATTCTAAAATACATTTATGCTAAAAAATCAATGTAAAATCACCTGCCGCCAGTGTCTTGTCGGAGTCTATTTCCAGCTTCTTGTCGGAGTCTATTTCCAGCTTCTTGTCAGAGTCTATTTCCAGCTTCTTGTCGGAGTCTATTTCCAGCCTCTTGTCGGAGTCTATTTCCAGCTTCTTGTCGGAGTCTATTTCCAGCCTCTTGTCGGAGTCTATTTCTAGCGTCTTGTCGGAGTCTATTTCCAGCCTCTTGTCGGAGTCTATTTCCAGCTTCTTGTCGGAGTCTATTTCCAGACCGTTGTTACTCAAAATTTGTCTCGCTTTGTGGCATTGCTCCTCTTAAAGATTTTAAGTGGAAGTATCATTAGGTGTTAAGCTATAATAAAACTGCAAGATAACCAAATACAACTATAGATACGAACTTGTAGATAGTATAGTGTATGTCATATCAACACATGGGTAAAATGTCATGTCAAAACACATGTAGATAGTATAGTGTATGTCATATCAACACATGGGTAAAATGTCATGTCAAAACACACGTAGATAGTATAGTGTATGTCATATCAACACATGGGTAAAATGTCATGTCAAAACACACGTAGATAGTATAGTGTATGTCATATCAACACATGGGTAAAATGTCATGTCAAAACACACGTAGATAGTATAGTGTATGTCATATCAACACATGGGTAAAATGTCATGTCAAAACACACGTAGATAGTATAGTGTATGTCATATCAACACATGGGTAAAATGTCATGTCAAAACACACGTAGATAGTATAGTGTATGTCATATCAACACATGGGTAAAATGTCATGTCAAAACACACGTAGATAGTATAGTGTATGTCATATCAACACATGGGTAAAATGTCATGTCAAAACACACGTAGATAGTATAGTGTATGTCATATCAACACATGGGTAAAATGTCATGTCAAAACACACGTAGATAGTATAGTGTATGTCATATCAACACATGGGTAAAATGTCATGTCAAAACACACGTAGATAGTATAGTGTATGTCATATCAACACATGGGTAAAATGTCATGTCAAAACACACGTAGATAGTATAGTGTATGTCATATCAACACATGGGTAAAATGTCATGTCAAAACACACGTAGATAGTATAGTGTATGTCATATCAACACATGGGTAAAATGTCATGTCAAAACACACGTAGATAGTATAGTGTATGTCATATCAACACATGGGTAAAATGTCATGTCAAAACACACGTAGATAGTATAGTGTATGTCATATCAACACATGGGTAAAATGTCATGTCAAAACACACGTAGATAGTATAGTGTATGTCATATCAACACATGGGTAAAATGTCATGTCAAAACACACGTAGATAGTATAGTGTATGTCATATCAACACATGGGTAAAATGTCATGTCAAAACACACGTAGATAGTATAGTGTATGTCATATCAACACATGGGTAAAATGTCATGTCAAAACACACGTAGATAGTATAGTGTATGTCATATCAACACATGGGTAAAATGTCATGTCAAAACACACGTAGATAGTATAGTGTATGTCATATCAACACATGGGTAAAATGTCATGTCAAAACACACGTAGATAGTATAGTGTATGTCATATCAACACATGGGTAAAATGTCATGTCAAAACACACGTAGATAGTATAGTGTATGTCATATCAACACATGGGTAAAATGTCATGTCAAAACACACGTAGATAGTATAGTGTATGTCATATCAACACATGGGTAAAATGTCATGTCAAAACACACGTAGATAGTATAGTGTATGTCATATCAACACATGGGTAAAATGTCATGTCAAAACACACGTAGATAGTATAGTGTATGTCATATCAACACATGGGTAAAATGTCATGTCAAAACACACGTAGATAGTATAGTGTATGTCATATCAACACATGGGTAAAATGTCATGTCAAAACACACGTAGATAGTATAGTGTATGTCATATCAACACATGGGTAAAATGTCATGTCAAAACACACGTAGATAGTATAGTGTATGTCATATCAACACATGGGTAAAATGTCATGTCAAAACACACGTAGATAGTATAGTGTATGTCATATCAACACATGGGTAAAATGTCATGTCAAAACACACGTAGATAGTATAGTGTATGTCATATCAACACATGGGTAAAATGTCATGTCAAAACACATGTAGAAAGCATGGGGTATGTCATATCAACACATGGATAAAATGTCATGTCAAAACACAAGTAGATAGTATAGTGTATGTCATATCAACACATGGGTAAAATGTCATATGTCATATAAACACATGTAGATATAGCATGGTGGATGTCATATCAGCACATGGGTAAAATGTCATATGTCACATAAACACATGGGTAAAATGTCACATGTCATATACACATGTAGATAGCATGTCATATGTCTTAAAAACACCAGTAATACGTCTTATAAACACATGTTGTATGTCTTATAAGCACATGTCGTATGTCTTATAAGCACATGTAATTGTCTTATAAATACATGTAACATGTCTTATGAATGCATGTAATATGTCTTACAAATACATGTCATATGTCTTATAAATACATGTAACATGTCTTATGAACACATGTCATATGTCTTATAAATACATGTATTATGTCTTACAAATACATGTAACATGTCTTATAAGCACATGCAATATGTCTTATAAATGCATGTAATATGTCTTACAGCCACACAAATGAAGAAAGCATGTTGTATGGGAATTTTATTGTACATTCAGTTGATAAATCTTCCTGGATAATGATTATTTTTTGGTCTTCATTGGCAATGCAAATGTTCACTTCCTATCAAACTGAACTAGTTTTATATCTTATACTAGACTCTAAACATGACATGGATTTATTTATCTCAGAAGATTAAATCTGGGGTTAGACTCCTTTTGTAGAGCTATACCAGTTCGGATCATTGATTTCATGGTTCATACAAAGTTGCATTATCTAAACCTGTAGTGTTAAAACCAACAGAAAATTTGGAGCTGAGGATACTGTATAGTTGCTAATAACCACATGGGCTATACATTTACTTATTTTGCAAATTCATAAAAAAATACGAAAATCTGTACCTTAATTACTTGTAATAATGAAATGTTTAGATCATGGCAGGAACACAGTTAAGTTGAGGCTACTAGGTGTAAATATAATGTTGATGAAAAGATTGCAACCCATCAATTAGATAAGGGTTTAGCATTAGCGGTGGCCATTTGTGTATCTATGTTGTAGCATGTGACTGTGCTTGTCCAAGTTTGTAAGGCATATTGAATTATCATTTATAATTTGACATTGCATCTCAGACATGTTTTCTTCTATTTAATGAACCACACATTTGTTGTTCATTACTTTGAGAAACTTTGGCTAACTACCCAAGTGTGAAAAAAATCCAAAGTGGTCCTTATCATGCAGTCCGTGTATACATTATAATTTTTGTTGTCCTGTACGTGACATATAGTAATATTCTTTTTAAAAAGAAGGAGGACTAGCTATGTTGTATATTTATTTTAGGTGAAGACAGTAATTTACTGCGACTCGGGGATGCCAATAAGATCATAAACGCCCAGCAGAAGCGACAGGATTTCCGGACTACGAAGTCTGTGCCCCAGTCCCTGGAGTTTGTGGTGAAGAAGCCCACACCTACTGTCCAGGAACCCACACCCCGACTAAGGGTCACCAGGGCTGACCAGCACATAGAACTTATCAACGATCCCCCAGACCCTGATACAGATCGCTCTCCTACACTCGGACTTCTCATAGTTCCCTCAAGGTCAGCTCCTGTCCTTAAAGCCTCTCTTTTAAACTATACTCCAACACATCACAGTATCTGAGGGTTATATGGGTGTTGCTTTTGAAGGATCTTTATATTCCTTCTTGCTCAATAATTCATGAACATGCCTTAAAATCAATTTACTCCATGAGGTCCCTTGATGTTAGTTTTTTCAATCATCACAAACAAATTTGAATTCCTTTATAAGAGCATATTAACCATTTCCTTGGTGCCAATTGCCTTGAAGATCAGTATTTCTAAACTTTACTTGAACTTGTGTAGTGGTCCTTCTGAGGTCAGTAACTATCACAACATCCAATGTTTAAGGAAGCCTATGTAGCGTTGAGTCCTTTTGTCTCTCTCCAGTGAAAGTGAGTCTAGGACTGTATCTTCTACTTGAAGTAAGAATCATTCATGCATCACCTTTGCGCTAAATGTCATTGAATATTACGAAATATATCCTAAGGTTATCTCAATATTCAAATTTGTTTAGGTGGCACAAGAATTCGATTTTTAATTGCTATAATAAAACTAAGTCATACAAATGTTGCAACAGTCATCAGACATTTTCTTAGCTGAATGAACTTGAGTTTGCAGTAACAGAGTTATTGGTGAACACTGTATCTACTGTACGTCTAAGTATCAGTCCGACAGAAAAACTGTATGTTTTGATAAAATGTTGTTTCTATTTAACAGGTTCCAGAACTTTGCCACCTGTTCTCAGGGTGTTGATGAGGACATAGACACATCGGACACACAGCCCCACATTTCAGCTACCTCCTCAAGTGACACCCTCACAGAGGACACATTCAATTCGGAAGAAAATCTCCGGGCTTCCCACTCTCCTCAACCTTCCTCCCAATCACCGCAACCTTCTCTCTCACCCCAACCATCCTCCAAATCGTCTAGCCAGCAGACTCAAAATCCTCCTCCACAGCCTCAAACTCGCACCACTCAACCTCAATCTCATCCTCCACAACCGCAATCTCGCTCTCCGCAGCCTCAATCTCCTTCTCCACTACCGCCATCTCGCTCTCCGCAGCCTCGATCTCGCTCACAGCAATCTCAGTCTCACTCTTCTCAAAGTAAAGAATCCTCAGAATTTGTGATAAGTGCGGAACAAACAATCAAACACACACCAGACCGGGATGCAGTTAGCTTAGGTGACCTACCATCAGAGGAAGACGCAGGTGAAGTGTTCACTGAGGAAACCATGCCAGGGGTTGCAGCTGAGACTGCAAGTACTGGTACTTTAACTGACCACAAGATGGACGCCAACTACAATAATTCCACACCAGAGGCCACCAACACCAGTGCCACTAACAATTCTGAAATCCTCGACCCAAACGGCAATACAGCGGCCACAGCCACAGATAATCAAAACTTAGCCAACACCAACAATAATCTCAATCTGAGATCACAGACTTCATTAAACAAGTTTGACCCCATCACAAACAAGCCAATACCTGCTGAAAGACATTCTATAAAGCCTACAATTCCTCGAACATCAGTCAGGGACGGTGTTATTGAGGCAAGGGCTGTGGACTTGGAGAAGCCACACCAGGCCTTAGACTCAGGTGAGGTGGCACTACCACAGAAACTGAAGAACCAGCCTCAACTAATGGGATACCGTAAAATTGGCTCCTTCACACATGCTGATAAGGTAAGAGTTCTGTCATTTATAGCTATAACAAACATTCATTGCAGTCTGAAATTTATTGTAAGATGCATATACCTAACTTTTCTTCTCAGCTTTGGTAGATGATTTTGAAAAAAGCGTGTTAAAAAATATTTCTAATTTTGTTTGCTGCCATTTCTTTCCATTATAAAGACTAGGAAGATATTCTTGTTTGAATGTGTAAATATTCTTATAGAACCCTTTATTAATGTTTAGATACCCTTGAAAGTTGAAAACTGATACTAATTCTTCTTGGATTTACTACATATTCAAACTTCAGTAAATATCATTGAACTGCTAAAAGTTACAATATTTCCTAAATTTGCTGTGACATTTAACTGCACGAGATGGCCATGCATTCTGACATTCCTAAATTTTCAGGGGCATTTAGCATGACCGTTGTTCGTCTGCCTTCTGTTTTCTTTCTATCGAAGTTCCTAGTTAATGATCTTTGTTTCTATAGATAAAAAATGTTTGCAGTCTCTTGGTTTCAATTTTTCTTCTATCTGCTTCTGATGAAACTTTAGAAGTATTTCGTAAATTTTCTTCAAAAATGTTGATGTTTCAGGATCCTGGACCCAAAATTGATAATCATAAGGTGGGTTAACGTTGCTAAAGAAGGAGTTAATCCATTTAGTTGACTGATCTTTCGATTAGAATAGTGTAGTACACTTGTAAATATATTTACAGTTATGGAAATAATACAGGGACCTTAGATCTGTTTGCATTATCAAGCTTGCGTGAACCAGACTAAATCTAAGACTGTTACTAAGATTAGGTCCAACAAATGTGTATATGTGTGTATCGCTGTCCCATCCTCCTTACCTTGGCCTTCAGCTCATCCATTATACCACTCATGTACATCAATGGATATATCTGACATTTGTGGAAATGTTCCTACCCATAATTTAATAACATCCATTTACAAAGAGCCTAGTGATTGTGAAATGTATATGTCAGTGATTGTGTAAGTTGTTAAAAGAATAGGTGACCTGACCCGGAAGCGTATACTAATGATATGGATTTGAGTGTCTGAACATGTTGTAGGTGTATTGGTCGCTGTGCTGTTAGTGCACAGATAAATTAGGATGATTCACTGAAAAAGATAGAGAAAAGTCATAAGTGTCATCATAGATAGATACCACAACAAAATTATCTGCATCATTTTGTTTTGTCCATCAATATGTCAATATATAGCTTATGAATTGTTTGAATTTTTGTCGGCTTTAAACACTACGTAGGTTGTGCTTGAGATAGGATGCCTACAGATTTTAGGAAGAAAGCTTTTATGGTGAGTTTCAGATATTTGTTTTGTTGCCATAATTCAAACATTATGATGTAAATTTGTTGTTTTATATCGCTGTTGTAACAGCAGGGGCTGATTCTGTGGGTAGGTCAAGTCAAGAATGTAGGTTGCGATCATTTTCGAGTGCTATACACTTTAAAGCTTGTGGTTTTCTCTTATCACCTGAACTCTTTGGCATGCTGTCAGAGGTAGAATTTAAAGTATGTACAGGTATTTTCATTAAAGCCCAATGATACTTGAGCCTGACACATGGAGGTGTACCTGGTGTGTAACCAGGTAAATGTTACATGGAATAGTAGTTACTTCCTCCTAAGTGCCTAAAGTGCCTAATTTAGTCTCCTTATGGTTGGATTGGTCGAGTGGTTAACACTCCGGCCTTCCACGCAGGCGGCCGGGGTTCGATCCTCGAAGTCATCGCACGCATGGAATATCAGAGAAAGTGTTTTTCTCCTGCCCACACAAATTGGTCTGGGGTGGATGTTGCGATAACTTTGTTGTAGCATTCACGTTAGGTGGCACTATAAATGATACCGTTTGAAGCACAGTCCCACTACAAACAGAACACATTACATCGCCAGCACACACGCAGGCATACACTCATAGGGAGATATTAGCCAGGTGGCATAGGACTAGTAGTTAGCGCCTGATAAGGCAGCTCCTGCAAATTCCTCAAAAATTGCATTGATTAATGTATATATATGTGCTAATTGTATCAATTGTATATCTATGTACTATAAAGCACTTTAGAGTGGCTTATGTTAGCTAGATAGGGTGCTACATGTATGTCAAATGTTGTATATTAATTTTATTATTTATTAAGTACCTTCTGTGTTACAATGGCAAAGGTTGGAAAACTAGCATGAATTGTGAAAGTATGAAACCAGCGGACATGTTCCATATTTAGACTACCTTGGGCACGTTGGATTGAACACATTTTTGTGTGGTGTCAACATCTTGTAAAGGAACATTTTGGTTCAGATTTCACAACTATCACCTAAAGTCATTGCTGAATGATAATTTATGCTTCTTGACAAATTTATCTGTTAAACAGTGGATATTTAAAAATTATAATTAGTTCTAAGAATTAAAAAAAAGAGTGGTTCACAAACCATTGATAGTTTAATTTGAAGACTAATGTTATAATGAAACAAGTTTTCTTTCCAAACGAGTAAAGTAAAGAAAATTAAATCAAACTTAAACTTACATAAATGAATGTATGTTAACTACAGCTGCACTTGTATATAACAAACAAATCACAAAGTACAGCAAAAGATATGTACGGTTCTGTTTTGTCTCCTGTGAAAGATTTGTTAAAGTCCAGATACTTAAGTTAGAAATAATATAATTATTAATTTATTGATGAACTTTTTAAGACTTAATAACCTAGGATTTACAACCAATTTCAAAATTAACTGGTTCAAATGATTAAAATTGTCCAGAGTGTTAGTATTATAATGGTGTCAGATTAAAAAACATCCTGTCCAGAGTTGAGCCAGTGTCCAGATTACCAGAGTTCAGATTAAAAGGATCTTGTACAGAAAGTGATTATCCAGATTAACAAGATGTAATTGATTGGGCTTTTTATGTATTTGTAAGCTAAGGTCAAGTAACAACAACTAAGGTCATAATACAGCAGCTAATGTCATATGACAACTAATGTCTTGTGACAACAGTTAAGGTAATAATACAGCAGCTAATGTCATATGACAACTAGTGTCTTGTGACAACAACTAAGGTCATATGACAACTAGTGTCTTGTGACAACAGCTAAGGTCATATGACAACTAGTGTCTTGTGACAACAGCTAAGGTAATAAAGCAACTGCTAATATCATATGACAACTAGTGTCTTGTGACAACAGCTAAGGTAATAAAGCAAATGCTAATATCATATGACAATTAATAAAGTTATACAACAGCTATTATTATTCCTCGTCGATTTTACAGCGTGTCTGATGGGTTTGAACACATCACATGACAGGATTATAAAACATTGAGTCTCCCTCACGCGATCCATTTTCCCTGTCGAGTATCCCTCCCGGAACCCCTCGCACATTATCGGATGAGTTTTCTCTCTTTGTTAGACTCTCTAACGCCCGATGTTCTGGACGACACCCAAACATCAACAATGTCTGCGAACGGGAGATTCCACCTCCCAACAGCTGAAAAACTATAATTGTTGTTCAATTTGATGTAAAATCAAAACACTGACAGCGATAGGTATTTGTATTATATATATGCTACCAAACCTAATGAAATAAGGGCAAACAGGTCAGTCACAACAGTGACAACACAAGGGCTCGTTACATTGCCTAAGGTTGATGTAGTTTTGTTAAATGTATATAACACAGAATCCAGATGGAATTTTGGAATAATAAAACAGGTATTGCCCTGGTGTGATGGAGAATTGAAGAGTTGTTCATAGAAGAGTTGTTCCCCCTCGACAAATCATGTTTTCCTTGGGCTTCGCCCTCGGGAAACATGATTTATCGCGGGGAAACAACTCTTCAGGTCTTCCTCACACCAGGGCAATAAGTGTATAAGGTCATATGACAATGACTAAGGTCATACAACAGATAAGGCCATATGACAATAACAAAGGTCAAATTACATCAGCTAAGGTCATATGTCAATAACAAAGGTCAAATGACAACAGCTAAGGTCATATGACAATGACTAAGGTCATGCAACAATATACAATTATGGACTTTTGTGCTGGTGAATATGATGTGATATGAGCCTGAAAGAGTGATATTGACTGAGGCGAAGCCGAGGTCAATATCACTCTTTCAGGTTCATATCACATCATATTTACCAGCACAAAAGCCCATAACTGTTTTATTATATGATTCAACAATAAAATAAAACAAAACAAAACTAAAGGTTCTGATTTTTGTACGCATTTTTGAATACAACAGTTCATCATTGTAGCTTTCGAAGGCATCGTCTAGGTTGTTTTTCTTCAGATAAGCATGGAGGACATGCACTGCATGTTCAATCGCAATTTTTTACGTTAACAGCATCTTTATCCTCGAATAGTTTTGGTAATTTTCCTAACGGAAGAGAAACGTTCGCCAGCAGCCATCTTCTAATGTCGTCTGACAGATCGCGTTCCAGTCTAACTGCGCATGCGCTACGACAGGTTCCGGGGAATTTCCATACAGGCTATATTTAGAAATCGATATTCACCGGATAACCAGTCTACATGAGTTTTTGAGGACTGATCACATGTATAGGATCCGACCAATGTGATTGCGAGAAATGTTCATGCATATAATAACAGCTGATATCATATGCCAACAGCCAAAAAGTCATAACATTAGCTAACTAGTGACATATGACAACATCCTTAAGTTATATGACAATGTTGAAGGTCAGTAGAGGATGGGGCCTGTTACAGTGTAAATGCCATCAGCCTAAGTTGTATTTATACATATTTGAAAAATACCCTGATATAGGATTTCATGTGTGCATTGTAACTAGACCGATCTTCATATCTAAATAATGTTTGACGTGTTTTAAGTGGATTCCCCTGATAGGGCAATGTGCATTACAACTTACCTGTCAAGTTGCATACTGAGATAGGTACAGATAGACTTCCTGGTCCTAGTTTTGTTTTAGGAGTACAATGTTTGCTACTTGTGGTATTAATTAACCGGATAACTGATAATCAACTGATAGATTGAGCTGTCCTGGTCACAGGAAAGGATAACATTTCCTAGTTTACCATGATTTCTGCTCAGGTAATGTCACTTTGCCTTTCGATAAAATAATCATCAAATATTCGCAACATTTTTCATGCATTATACATTACAACAATATTATTTGTAGTCAAATATTCATTTGTACTTGGAATAACTTTTTAAACTTACAATCAAAAACTTTTTGTGCTAGTAGGTTAAATGCATAGAAGTAACAAGAAAACTTCAATGAAGTGTGTGTGTGTGTGTGTGGTGGTGGTGGTGGTGGTGGTGGTGGG